TGACCCCTTCACCCACCGTAGCGGGCGTCAACAACTTCTTAACTGCGGACGGGTCCTGAAAGGTGTAGAAGAACGTGCCCGCGTTCGAGATGCCGTGGTCCGAGAGGAGCTGAAAAACCTTAGCGTCTAAGCCGGCTTCCTCAGCAAGGTCCTTGAGAACTGGAAGCGACGGCGGCTGAGTCGTCGTCATCGGACGGCTCCTCTGCTGCGACGGGACCTGCGGGCTCGGGACCTGTGTCTTGACACGAAACTGCGGACAGGACTGCTTCGTCGGGAAAACACGAAGAACAAAGCTTAAACCCTGGCAGGACTGTTGCATTCCGAAGACATGAACTGGTGCCATAGCGCCATTTCCCGCACGCCGAAAGCCACTCGTCTGAAGGGACTGCTGCTTCCCCTGCGCACGGTTTATGTGCGAGACGAGAGCGAACATTGTGAACATAGACACCGTGGCCCTCAATGCACTCGGCCACAAACTTGCGAACTTGGTCGCGCAAAGTGTCGGTGGCCCGAATAAGAGATGCCCCTGACAAGTGCGAGGCCACCGCTGCCGCGGTGATGGCCGGCTGGTTCATGACCGCTTCTTGGACGTACCTCATCACGGCCATGGAGCCCCAACGGCCTAACATTTGTATTGTCGGCAAGGGCACCATCGAACGGGCGAGCAACTGCGCCCCCGCGACCCGGAACGCGTGCTCTGCCCAATCCTCCAACTGGGAGAGCATCCACTCTTCTGAGGCCTCGTTGTGCAAGCAAAGCCCAGCGACCTGGGCCAACCTGGCGACCTGGCGCTTGCTCGGAGGCGTCTGCGAACCGGAGAACAGAAAGGTGTCCGCGGACCACTGTCGGGACTTACGGATCCCGATGGCCAATCGGAGGGCGCCATGGAACGGACACAATGGCTGCCGCCCACCGATGCACGAACATGACTGCAGCTGAGTGAACATAACCTCGGGCGGGCATCCCGACCGGCAGCCTGGCTCATGAACGGGTTTGCAGATACACACGTGCGACCGTTCGCACCCCTTGGCAGCTGGATCTGTCTTTGACACAGGCAGGGACAGCCGAACCAGACGGTCACCTCGATTTAAATGCACGTCGGTGCACCGAACATTTGCCACCTCGATTCCACGGAGCAGGAACCAGATCGCCACTGCCAGCACGGCACATGGCTCGGCGAACTGGTGCTCGACTGGAACCTGCAAACGCGCATATGCTGCGTGAAGCTGGGCGTTGAGGTCCGACGGGGCTCGGTCGACGAACAAGTCGCGCTTGAGCCTGGCTGGCCCTAAGCCACGGTTGATCGAACGCACAGCCTGCTGCACCGCCAAGTCCAGGGCATCTGTCCAGGCATATTCGGCTTCGCGGTGACGCTGTTTGGCAACACTAAAACACTGAGCACTGGACCTGTACTTGCCCTCTTTAAGGAGGGCCCCCACCTTAAAGATCTTCTCCTGAGTCAAGGGCAACGGGTCCAAGGACCGGGCTGCACACAACCGCTGCCACGTTTTCCATCTTGACTCGATGGGCGCACGGGAGGTCCTTGCATAGCGATCCTCCAGGAAAGCATCATCGACTGATTCGAAAGACCCGGCCTGACCCTCTAACGAGATTCGTTGCAAGGAACCCCTGGCGTACGGGTGCACCACGGGAAGGTCACTACGACTCTGCCCCGGCCCACGGGCCGCACCCTTGCCTGCCGGCTGCATCAACCGATCAAGAACAACGTCCCCCAGAAGCGCACGGAGCTGCGAACGAGGCGCTGCCGAAAGCTGTGCTGCCGACTTGATGCCTGCCACCCGCAGGTCTTCGAGCTTATCAGCTGCACCGACCGAAACTGCAACCTGAACCAAGGACGCGAACGTGTGACTGTCTGCGGTAGTGCCGGCGCCGGCCATGGCCGAACGAACTAGCAACACAACTGCGACTTGAAGTGAAAACCCTGCCGGGACCAAAGCGCTGCCGCGCGACCATGCGAACACTTGGTCGTTTAGACCCTGACCTGCCTAAGGATCCCACAGCCCCACCCCACTCAGGCTGACAAGGCGGACGGCCCAGCCTTTGCTAGCACTAACTGGGGGGGGGGGGAACCACCGAAACCACCAAAACCCAAAAACGCAACCAACCAACGACCGGGGTGCCCTGAACACCTCCCACAAGGCCCACCCCCGGCTGCACTGGCAAACGTGCGGCGCACAACGACGCGGCGAGGGGTTAGGGAAACCGGGGCCGAATGGGCAGAGGCACGCAAAACCACGACGTCCCGAACAGGAAACCCGAACAACCCGACCCCGAACAGCCCCACGAGGCTCGCCCTAACGGGTTTTGCGGCGAAGCGGCGGTGCAAAACAGAGTCCTGGCGGCACCGAACCGGAAGACGACCATATAGTACAACACCTCGGGCCACGACCTTGCCGAACGGGGCCTCAGCTTTCGGAGTCCTTGCACGAACGGCATAGGTGGCGGGAGTGTGCACGGCGGTGTCCGCGTCTGTTCACCCTGCCACAGGGGCGCAGCCCACACCGGGGACAACGCACCATGCATTGGGATGTAATATCCCAATAATCTGGAGGCGTAGTAGAGAACGGGAGGCCGGTTGGAGTTGTCGTCGGAAGGTTGGCGCCAGGAGGCCACACCGTAGGCACGACCGGGTTCGCTTTGGCCTTGGGCACGCCGCTGGGAATGTCTGACCGGTTCCCAGTGGCCTTGGGCTCCCGCACGAACTGGTGCTGCGTTGTCCCAGCTGTCTTTGCCCCCGAGGTAGCCTCCGCTGCTGGCGCTGCCGCCGTAGTCGAACTAGAGGTAGCCGGTGGGGAAGTCGCCGCATCCTTGGGCACGGACGGGTTTTGGGCACGTTCTTCACCGGTACCTGCCGCTGCTGGGCGGCCGCTGTAGGGTGAGGAGTGCCACCGAACTGGACGTGCGCCGGCACTGGAGGATACCTGAACAAAGGGTTCGGATTCGTACCCCCCTTGGGCGCGACCAGGACCGGGTCGTTGGCATAGGTCTCGGTCGCGATCACGTCCTGAAACTCGGCCGGGACCGTCACCTGCACCTTGAGCACTGTAGGGGCCGGAGCCTTGACCACCGCGACCGGCTGCACCACGGCCACTGGCTGCGGCTGACGGGCGTCGTGCGGGTGGAGCTGCTGCGGGTTCTTGGCCTTAGCTGTCGCCTTCTTCGACAACGGTGGAGGCGAACAGGGCGCTGTCGTAGTAGCTGGCACGGGGCTTGCGGTGACCGACGGCTGCTCCTCGGTGGGCTGGCCCTCAGGCGGCGTGTCGGAGATGCTGTCGGACGAGTCCACGACACCCCCATCCAAAGCCGTCTGCGCCAAGGCCTCGTCCACGACATCCTCGGGGAACAGGTTCGCCGCGAGCAAGGCGGAGTCGTAGAAAGCACCAGAGCCCAGGACGACCGGGTCGGGATCATATGCCTGATGCCCTTCCGCCACCGACTGTGCGAACAGGGCTGCAAGTCGGGCACGGGCCTTCAGGCGCACGTCTTCTAACGTGTCCATTATCATGTCCTCCGTCGCCTCACTGAGGACCTGGACGGCCATCTGCACGGCGACCGATCCCGGCCGCGGACGGGAGTCTCCAGCGTCAGCGCCGGCTTCAGTGCCCGCGTCATCCGCGCGAGGCTCGCCCCACGTATGTCCTGCCTCGGACGGGGCATCTGCAGGCTCTGCACCGGACATGGCTGCGCTTGGAGGCTAACTTTTGAAGCTGCTGCCGCACTACCGGGCAAAACTCGAGAGGTAACATCGTCGAACGAGTTTGTCACTTGATGCACACGTGCACAACCATACCATACCATACCATACCATACCATGCCATCCATGCATCCATCCATGCATGCATGCAGCATGCATACATGAGACGGACAGACTCACGCACGGACACATGGACAAGTGGACAGACAGACGGACGGACGGACTTGCAGACAGGGAGACATGCAAACAGATAGGCCTAAAGAAGACATTACGTACCCACGTTTTCTAAACCCTACGTAGGCCTCCAGCTTCGACCAAGCACTGCTGGCCCCAATTCCGGAGGCTGCGCCAGCGAGGAGCTGCACCTCTCAAGAAGTTCAGCGGATGCGGAGATGCAGATGCACATTTGGCCCACAAATCCCAGACTGCTTCGCACGTCACTGTCACGCACCTGTCGCATGCACGATTGTCTGGGCTTCCCGCTATGGAATGAGCTCCTGTGATGTAGCGCATGCAGAGAATTCCAGCGGCCTTACTGGCGCCAGCTGTGTGGGTCTGGCAAAATTCCAAAAATCTTCCAAGCACGCAACCCAGAGAGCAAGGAGGCACATGGCACAGGCTCGGAAGCCTCTGCTGAAGCCTGCGGCTGCTAGCCGGGGCTGCCTGCACGGGCTGCCCGAAGCAAAGGAGAGCTCACCTTTCTGTTAAACTGTAAACATGTCGCACCGGCATTTTGGAAGGAGTCAGCTCTTGGGACTCTGAAGCTTGGGTCGAATCCCTTTGAGATTCAAGCACTTTCATTAACTAAAGCAGCCCAGTAGAAACTCCCAGGCTGCTCACTTCTTTGCTTCATCCCAAGTTTGCAGTGGCCGGTCGCTCGCGCGGCACGTTTCCCACTGTTGCCATGGCCTCAGCTTCAGTTTCGGGTTTCGGGAGTACAATGAAGCCAGTATGGCTGTATGTGTATGGTTCGGGGTTTTCGTTCGGCATCAAGCAGCAGATCTTTGCTCACAAATTCTCGTCCTTGCTGATGTGTCTCTGTACCGCCACAGTCTGTCTGACATAAAGCAATGCAACAAGATCAGCTGACACCAATAGAAACACAAACGACTATGCTCAGAAAATGCGACAGCAGCAACTTGCACTGACACGCAAAAAAACCTCGTGGCCAGAAAGAAAGGCATCATCCCTTCATTAGCACATATTCCCAGGCAGTTGTGGCAGTCAATGCCCCGCAACCACTACTCAGCTTGTCTCCCCGCCAGAAGAGAGCTGTTTTGCAAAGTTAGGCCCGGGCTGCGTAGGCAAACACTGCGCAAACTCCTGAGCAAGATCGAAGTAAGAAGCAGGCGCCAACCAACCCAGAAATGAGCTGAGGCTTCGTCTACCCTCAGCTTCTGCGCAACTTGGTAGTGGTCTGACAAGCACCCCAACGCCGCGCGAGGCAAGAATGGCTTCTGCACCGCACAGCGAAACGGCCTAGGCCGTATGCTTCCATCTCGGTAAGCAACTTCAGCACCTCAGGTTGCAGTCAACTTATGTCAAAGTGCCGATGATGTCGTGTCAGGTGACTGAGTTGAAGGCCGTGGGGTACTGCTTGCACCGGCAACAGACTCTCACAACGCTGCAGTAGGAATTCTCCTGCCAGCATCGGCAGCATAGACAGCATTGTATGGACAGGCATAAAAGCACTACTTGGCGGCCTGCCTTGGGTACAGTGCCAGTATCTCGGAGCTGTTGCAAAAGTTCCTGTGCATTCTACTTGACTGGTCAGCAACGAGTTTCTGTCATAAAGAAGGCCCCAACAAGCGATTTCTTCCAGTCTTGGGCGAAGCCGCACAAGCCTGTGTTCTGAACGAAGTAGAGACACGGCGGCATCAAGGCACCCGTCGTCGTCTCGGGACTGGACTTATGAGATCATAGCGGATCTCCTCGTCAAGCTCGAAACCTGTGCAGGTTTAGCAGCTTAGAAAGAGTTTGGGATATCCCGGGCCCTACTAACAGCGACAATGGCGACAACAAATAAAAGCACAGTTTGAAGCACCAGCAGCAGCGGCATAAATTCGCGATGGAGTGCCTACATGGCGTGCATCCTGTGCATTATTGCGCTAGCTTCGATTGGCTGCAAATTAGCACTCAAAGCTTCGCCTCACACGTTCTTGCTTGTGGTCTTCATGTTCCGCAAGTGCATTCTGGTTTTTCCAGCTGGATGTGCTTTTATCTGGCGCTACTCGTGTTTGCGTTAGTTCTGGCGCTACCTGCCACCTTAGCCGTGCTTGGATTGCCGAGGGCCAACGTGGTTCGAAATCCTGGGCCTCTAATCCGCCCGTGTGATAGGTGTAGAACCTTTAAACTGTTCTTCAGCTAAGTCAGAATTCTTTGGCCCGGGATGCAGTCGTCCTACAGGTCTCGAATTCGCCTGCGTCGCGCATCTCTTCGAATACGTTCAGAGCGGAATCACGACCTGAGACTCAGCTGCAGGCTACTGCTCAGAGAAAGCCACCACCAGGAGTCAGACATTGGCAGTTGATGCAGGCCGCGACCAGCGCATTGTAGACAGACTTGTCTGGCTTGATGCCATTTTGCTGCATTTCTCTCAATGCCTGTACAGCCTGCAGCATTTGCAATGCATTGTGCTGCGCCACATGCAGTCCATAGAAACGACTCGGAAGGTCCCAGAAACGGCTGAAAGCAGAAGCCGGAGAGACCAGCAGAAAGCACCGGCCTGCGCCGGCTGCCGCCGCTTTCCGAGGTTGCTGATGAGCCTGAAAGGGATCAAGTCACATAAGGCCTTGCCACTAAATCCGTTCAAGAGAACATGCGTGATGAAGGGTGTTCATCGCAGTCCGAGCCCCAACCTCGTGTAAACTCGCCTCTCCTGTGCAGCTGACAAGCCAGCATTCTTGCCTGCAAGTGCCAGCCGGACAGTAACAGGCAGGGGTACTGGAGCTTTCGCCGGTCCAGCCTCCTAGAAGCTTCCCGCAGCTGTGCTCTGCAATCACAGTCACCTGCGAAAGCCAGATGAGGACCCTCTTCATCAGGTGCCCTGAATGCAGCCGCCCCAGGACCCGACACAGTGTGCGAGACCAGGCTTCTCCGTAGGGCAGTCATTTCCCCACCATCGATAGTCACCTGAAAGCTTGCAGAGCTCAGGCTTGCCTTCGCACACTATAGACTATGGGGTTTGGGGTTTAGGGTTTAGGCTGCAGGGTTTAGGGTTTTAGAGACCATAGACTATGAGACTATGAGGTTGCTCGTCAAGGAACCCTACATGTGTGACCATTCATAGCCGGCGATCTTAAAAGAGAGAACGAGGTGCGCACTGGAAGGTGGCTTTGAAGTGCATGGCGCCATGTGGCACAACTTACGCTGCAGACTTACTGTACCAGGCCTTCCATTTTTGCCCCTTGCAGGAATGGACAACATGAGCTGAGAAAGAGCGTACACCTATGCCCATGATCTCGCTGGCTGGAGCCAGAAACTGCTGGATTGCTCCCAGCACAGCAGAACATCGGAAGTTCACCGGCAGAGGCACTTGCACTTTCAAGAGCGTGCACCCTACCTGGCATGCAGCTGCCCAAGCAAAAAGCCTGCGAACGCAGCATGCTCCGACGGCCTGGATGGCATCCATGATCCAAGATTCGCAAGATCCATTCAGCAGATAGGCTTCCCATGTCAGCCCCAGGCATGCCAAACGGGCCCTCAGACGGTAGCACGTAGGCAGCATGCTGGACAGGCCTCCGCTAGAGCAAGGACCCAGGACACAGCCGCAAAGCGGAAATGTTCGTGGACCCGTAAACGCTGCGGCGCTGCGTGCCGTGCTGGGCTGCTGGCCGCGGCTGCTGAAGAAGGCCCTCAGACGGCGAAAATGCCTAGTAACCCTAAACCCTAAACCCTAAACCCTAAACCCTAAACTTCTTAACGTCCTGACCTCTGATCTTAATCCTCTCGGCCCAGCCTTCAGCTGCAAGACACAAGTGTCCAAGAGAACGGCTCCGAGAAGCGTCCAAGCCTGGGATGGCAAAATCTCTGCCTTTGCCATCTCGAACCCTCGATTTCCTAAGCTCCAAACCCACTCCACACGTGTTGTCCACAGAAAGCCACCAGCCAGAGCAAGACCAGCTGGAATTGAAGTGGCCACCAAACTTACCTGGTTCAAAAAACAGCTCTCGACTGCGCTTTTTCTGAAGATGTGCCTTCTCCTGCACTCAGGAAGCCGGAAAGCTCAGGGTGTGGCGATGATGGTCGAAAGGCTCTGGAACGCCCGAGACTCGACAGCCATGACAGCCGCAGGCTACGCATCTCTTTATGCTAGCTGCTAGTCAGCTATCCTAGGCCCAGCTCTGCAGAGTCACCGCGCTTCGCTTGGGCCGCCCCAGTCACAGGCGTTAATCGTTGCACTGTTGTCGACAGATGCCCCTCCGCTTTTAGATCCCTGGCTTTGATCCGTGACATTTTGCAAGCCTTGGGGCGCTGCGAAACCCGAATGCAAAAGGCTCCGAAGGGGGTTCCATTTTCCATCAGTCGGACTGGTCCCACTCCTCCACATCAGCATGCCATCGTTTGCTGTCGGCCTGACTGCAGTCCAACATTGGCCGCAACGCGGACAGCAATGCTTCCCCATCAATTAGGTGTGGACGAGCACATAAGTGTTCCTGATTTTACCGGTGCTCACACTGAAATTCCGCACCACCAGGCGTAACCTCGCTGAAACAGGGGAAATTAACTCGTCGATCAATAGCGACCCTAATTCACCCTGGGAGCCTCAGCTGTAATGTGGTGGCTGTGGCTTGTGATCATGGCACCTACTAGGAAAGGGGGCCGAGATGTGTAGGATTGGGGCCTCAATCACCCCAGGAACCGAAACACAGATATCAGTTGCTGAGGCCTCATCCCAAAGCGGGAGTTTCAAAAAGAAATCTTGAGCAACCCCCATAGCCTTGTAGTAACCCTTACGGTCCGCTTCTACCACCCCCGCTTGAGTGACACCTGGGCACGTCACGAGCTGAGTCCGACACCTTGGCAGGCCTCGGCTCGTACCGGATGTCAAGTGCTCGCAAATCAAGCTAATAACTGAAACAGTTATGTCAGTAATGCAACAAAAACACTACGTAGCACTACCATTCACCATGAGGAGGACCACAATCACCAGAATCCTCGCCGTAGTCATCATCATCAGCATCACCAGCATCATCATCGTCGTAATGATCATCATGATCGCGACCGCCATCATCAGCTTCACCACGAGTGCAGAGATTGTCAGGGTCATTCCCACCACTATTCACAGTCATTGTTTTCACGTGGAGCCTTTTGTCCGATCATGCCTACCATAGCCGGCTCCTTTGCATGGCCAGTCTCACCACATTATTATTATATCATTATTATATCAATATTAATATTTGTATTAATATTATTATATAGTAATAATAATACTATGCTTGCGATTACTATTGTTATTGTTCCTCTCGTTCGTACAGATCGCAGTTGCACTCTCCATGCTGTCACTTGTAGCCCATGGGGCAAGACTACTCTTCTTGCAATGGCCAGTAGTTGTGCATTCCCACTACTGCACTACTACAACGATCTTCCTGTATGCATGCTACTCTGCACTAACAGGTGGGTGTTTGGTTGTTCGTGGATTTCCTGCGAACTTCCAATTGGTTCGATAACGATTGCCATGACAGCTCCAAAAGACTGAGCTTAAAGCCGTTCCTGATGACCATTTCCTCATTTCCTATATCATTTGGTACGACCGAAGAGAGGCGCAGCGACAACAATATGATCAAGGGCTCCAGGTTCCAAGATGATACAGTTGATTTAGTTTGTGTGAAACCAAAAGCTCTGAAACTCTCAACCCCTCAACCCATCCCTAAACCTCAAGCCCCAATCCCCTCAAACCCTGACACCCTACACCCTACAACCCTGAATCCTAACACAATGAAACCCGAAACCGCTGGACCCTAAACTCCAATACACTATCACTATACTCAACCCTCAACCCTAGAAGTGTATGAGCCTTCGTTGTGGGGTGCTTTGGGGGTTGTCCTGCACGCCCTTAGCGAGGCCGAAGTCCGACCTTGGTTCTGGAGTTCCTTTGAAGGAATTCCTAAGGTTTAGGGATGAAGGGCCGAAGGGGTTTAGGGAGTTGGGAATTTGGGTTTGTGGGTTTTTTGGGTTATTTTGGTGTTTAGGGCTTCGGGTTTTGCGTTTGAGGTGCTACGTAAGAGTATGCTGGCTCTCTACTACGTGCTAAACGCTGACGGCCTCGACAGCAAGATGGCCAGCACAACTTCGACCATGGTCATGTGTGAACAGCAACCCCCGATTATGCTTCCTTCATTGGGCCCTCTGGGGTGTTTTAATGCTGCGCTTCACAACAAACTAAGATCGAAGCAAGGACATTTGGTCAGTGTCATCCAGGGAACATAATTCGCCTGAAGATCTCAGGTTGCCATATTCTGCACATTGAACACACACGCACACACACACGCGCGCGCGCGCACGTGTTTGTTGCCAGACAGCTTTCCACCTGTACACTGTAGACGTCGGGCAGCCTGACCATTGCCAGGCAAGCATGAAAACTGACGGGCTGAAGATGTTCCAGGACTAAAGCTGGGCGCGCAATTGCTGAGCGTGAAGTTTCAGCTGTCCAATGGCCTGGCAATCGTGAAACAACGTTGTTGTCACTTCTCGAAAAAACATGTCCACAATTTTGTGAAAATTTTTGTGCTTAGCATAGGCCGCTTCAACCTTATCGTGTGCAATGCGCCTGTCATTCTGCCAAGGAGTGAGCGCAGTGTCGACATCTGTCAAACACTGCCTGGCACTGTCTCTGAAGCGTGTTCGTCTTTGCCGCATCAAGAGGGCATGGTCGTCGTTGTGCATGACGAGCTGAAATTCGACCAAGTCAAACATGCCAATGATGGCCTGCGACACCTCCAGAAAGACATCTAGAGCTTGCTGATGCTTTGTGCAGTCTGGGCGATGATGCCCAGCCAGATGCCCAGGCACATAGCCCGGCGAGTACTTCTTCTCAGATACAAAGTTGGCCTCTATGTTTTGCATATGAGTGATCACCTGTGGAAAGCTGCCTGCGATTTGAACAGCCGCGACGTTTGTGGTCTGGACCAAGCTGGGGAGGAGGGCAAGCTGCTGAGCTGGTTGCAAGTTCTGGATCACAGCAAGATCGGAGACAATGAGCTCACACTGGCCTTTGATTGAGTCCCCGAGGTTCTGATTCATCAGTGCGAAGAGCTCGCGAAACTTCTTGTCCGTGTGGCTGTTGATCCTGTTGACGGCCTCGAGGGCGGATCCCGGATTCACCCAAACAAGAAGAGTTCGTTTAATCAATCCCTGAAACAAACCATGAGAAACACTCGGCGAATTTCTCTCCATGACCTCGTTCAGCATCGTCTGGATAGCTTCCAGCATTGCTTTAAACGGACCCCCAGCAGCATCATCCCAGCACAAGTCCATGGTCAGGCTTGCGACCCCACACAAGGCGCCGAGGCCTGCACCGTATGGCCCGGCCACTGCTGAAACCTGGGCCACAAGTTGGAGCCCGGCCTGCGCCTTCTCCTTGTCGGTCCCGTTTTCACAGGCAGCCTTCAAGTTCCTTGCAGCAGCGCAAGACTTCTGCAAGCCGTCCGCGCACTTCTGAATCTTGGCAGCCTGACCTGACCGACTGAGATTGTTCACATCTGTCTGAAGAGCCTGAAGACGCTGTGTCATCTCAGCCGAGACTTGATCGTCGCAGACATCATCCGTGATGAAGTCCTGCAAATCGTCAAGCTGCTGCTGCATGTTTGCAATATCCTGGGCCAGAGCCATCTCTGCACAGGCCTGGCGACAGATAGTTAAGGGTTATGGCCAAAGTTCGGACTGGTCCGGTAAACCTGAGCAACAAACGCCAGGCCGAAAGTGCAGGTTTCAAGCCGATAGCCTACAGTTGCTGAAGTCACTGTTCCCTCAACAGAAACGCGCTTGCAAAAGCTGGCTGACAGCAACGCTCTGCGACACTTTGCGGGAGCTGAAACACAATGTGTGCCAAGCACTGCCGTGACGGCATGGAGACCATCCTTTGTGTTTCCAAGATCTGAAATCTGAGGGCAAAACGGGAAACAACAGGCCGTTCACCAGAAGCCTTGACAGACAGCACCCAATGTCATGCTTGGGGCGCTGGCTTCAAATCTTAACAGCAACATCAAGCCACCACCACCGTGCGGATTGCAGGTGTAAGCTCAGGCTTACTCACGTTGCAATCCGCGTCGACTGTGCATCTTGCATGTGCTTTTCCTGGGTGGCTAAGGGTTTGGGATTTGGGGTTGAAGTGCCACTGGCTTACCATGCCTCCTTGACGTCAAAGTACGCTGCTCATGGACCAGCTTCATGGAGCGCCGGCCTCCAGGCGAAGCTTGCGAAAGTCGGTTTTGAGGTTTCTCGGGTCCCCGGAGAAGCCTCGTCAACAAACTCCGGCCCAAAAAGGAAGTGTCAAATTTGAATAGCCTTCGTCCCCTACGTGCTTCTTGGGACGGCAGGGTGACGGAGAGACCTATGCCTCCTATGATGCTAAGGGTTGTCAGTTTCCACTTCACACATTCAGTATCTGTCATTCTTGGACCCCGAAGGACGACCCACCCACAATTGTTCTCTCGAGAACCTCCCACTAGCTGGGCAGAGGGGTACACTCTGATGCTTGATTTGTGTCCAGCTCCGTTAAACCTGTAGAAGTCTAGTCACCCGTCGCTGCTGACGAAGGCTCCTCCTCCAAAATTCAAGATAAGCTGTTGGCAACCACAGCAGTGAGTCGGGAGGCGCTAGTCTGCTCGCATACAGCCCATGACTTGCGGCTGGTTCTCAAAAACTGGTGCCCATGGCATCTTTCGCAGAACTCTTACAAGAAGCCCCCAGGAAAAGAACCGCCCCTGAACAGGAAATTCCGGAAGAGAGTTCATGGGTGGTCTTGCTCTTCGGTTGGCCTGTGCAGTTGCATGGTGCGCTGGGAAACTGATTGCATCGAAGCCGGCCACCCAGAAGCGGTTTAGGGTTCAGGATTTAGGGGTTTAGGTTTAAACCCAAGGAATCCTTAGACCACCTAGCCCCAAAGTCGGAGCCCCGCAGCCCGCGCTTCCCAAACCAACTCTCAGGGCTCGACGCAATCTTCCCCCTCGCGCCCGCGGAGGTCAAGAAGGTCAAACCGACCTCGAAACGTCACTTGGTAGGTAATTCTAACAGGGGAGTGTATTATATGGGGACGATATGGGGATGACATTCCTTTATTCCCTACGAACAACCAGTGAGGTCAGTTCTAAGCCCCAGACTCTAGACCCTAGACCCTAAACCCTAAACAAGGAACCCTGAACCCTAAACACTAGATTGGTTGGAGGTCTTGCCCCAGAAGGATGGGACAGGAACCCGACATGAATTTGGGAAATCCCTCGCGGCGCCCTTGAAACACGGAACCCTGAAACCCAAAAAAAAAACTCTGAAACCCTAAAAACGCCCCAAACCCTAAAACCTTAGACCCTAAACTCAAAAAACCCTACACACTAAACACTGCAGAACGCCAGGGATGCAATGTCAGCGCTTGAGGCTGCGACGATGCCTTTCGACTTGTCAGATTTCGCCTCCGGGAGACAAGCCCTGGCCCCCCTTTCTACAGTTGTTTTGGGGGCTTTATAGAACTTTAATTTCTATGGCTGGAAAAAAGAATTCTGAAGGGATTAGAACTTATAAACTCAAAATTGCTTTCAAATCACCTGCTGCTTTGGAGTGTAGAGTAGCGCGGTTTAGGGTTGAAGGTTCAGTGCCCCCCCCCACCGCTTTCAGAAAATCCCATGTCCCTACTTGCTACGATGTAGGGAAGTTTCGCTATAGGGGCAAGGGAAGTCATTCTTGGAGGGCAGGGATGGCTCATGGCTTACACTGGGTTTAGGGTTTAGGTTTAGGGTTAAGGGTTTAGGTTTAGCGTACGCAGGAAAAACAGCGGCCTGGCCGGAGGCCGTTAACCCGGTGGTGTATTCGCCGGTTCCGGAGAGAATGGCATTGGGCGCCTGCGTTCAGATCTTGCACTCATTGGCTCAACATCTGTTGCAACTTTTGAGTCTATAGATTGAGCACCACATGCCCTTGCAGCCAATCGCTCCAACGAGCCCAGTGAAGCAGCGCGAAACTAAACCGCAAACGTGAAACTGCACCGCAAAAGGCCTAAACTCAAAACCTTAAACGCTAGCCCTCCAAACTCCAAACCCTCATAAGGCCCCAACTTTGGCAGCCATCCAGGTCGCCAGCAACTGTACACTGCTGCGATGGAGCAAAAGCTAAATGTCTGCAGCATTGCAATGTCCACAAAAATGCATGAAGAAATTGGATCTGAAAGTTTGTTTGCAAGCATACCAAAGAACCTTTCTTTGCAAATGTCTATTTAGCAGAAATCCAAATTACAAATCTGAAGTCAGTTTCCGAACGAAGGGGGATGTTCAGCGCTGCAGCCGTGATTTCATCACGTAAAATACCTGCTGATGACATCAATCCTGCATGACCCTCTACATATACTGTATTCATACTTATATACTATATTGACTACAGAGGTCATGCAAGAGTGATACATTAAACAGCAGCTCATTGTGGGTGGCTCTGTTTGTGAAGACCTCACGCAAAAATGCTGCGCCCTTGAACTAGTTCGGGGATGGCGGTCCATAGGTTTAGGAGATAGCATGTCGGTTTGAGGGTCCAGCGTTTAAGATTCGAGGGTCTCGGGTCTACGAACAATGCTTTTGCCTGCAGCGTTCCAGATCTGATGACCCAGTTTCGGTCTTCCCTCTGTTGCAACTGCAAAGTTTGCAGCCTGGTACTTGGATGCTCGGGAGACTTAGTAAGTAGGGCCCTTAAGTAAGCTCTCACGCCAAGTACCGCCTTCCTCTTGGTATGTGGCCTCAACGGGTTCTTGATCTGCTTGACTTTGGACCCTTGCTCCTGCACGGCCTTCTTGGCCTTCCAGGAAGGCTGAATGGAGCTGCAGCCAGACACTGCCCTAACACCCTGACACTGCATTCCTGCTCAGTCCCACAGTCTCCCCATGCATACATAACCTTCTGTCATGGTACCACCTTGTCTCAACAGATCTCCGCCCTTTTTGCGCCAACATTGCAATGTCTGCTCGCGCTCTCTGGGGAAACTGCTAGCAGTTCCTCGCCTAAGGAGGGGGATGATGGGTTCCGAAGTCCAGTGGACCTGTGGAAGTTTCCATTATCGGGGCAGTCATTTCCCCACCCTCGATAGTCACCTGAAAGCTTGCAGAGCTCAGGCTTGCCTTCGCGCACTATAGACTATGGGGTTTAGGGTTTGGGGCCTAGGCTGCCGGGTTTAGGGTTTTAGAGACCATAGACTATGAGACTATGAGGTTGCTCGTCAAGGAACCCTACATGTGTGACCATTCATAGCCGGCGATCTTAAAAGCATGAACGAGGTGCGCACTGGAAGGTGGCTTTGAAGTGCATGGCGCCATGTGGCACAACTTACGCTGCAGACTTACTGTACCAGGCCTTCCAGTTTTGCCCCTTGCAGGAATGGACAACATGAGATGAGAAGGAGCGTACACCTGTGCCCATGATCTCACTGGCTGGAGCCAGAAACTGCTGGATTGCTCCCAGCACAGCAGCACATCGGAAGTTCACCGGCAGTGGCACTTCACAGAAACTTGACTTGCGCTTTCAAGATCATGCACCCTAGTCACTGCATCTTGACCAAGGCGTCAGTCAATCACTGCACTGTTGTCGACAGATGCCCCTCTGCTTTTAAATCCCTGGCTTTGATCCGTGCCTTTTTGCAAGCCTGGGGCGCTGCGAAACCCGAATGCAAAAGGCTCCGAAGGGGGTCCATTTTCCATCAGTCGGACTGGTCCCACTCCTCCACATCAGCATGCCATCGTTTGCTGTCGGCCTGACTGCAGTCGGGACAACACTGGCCGCAACGCGGACAGCCATGCTTCCGCATCAATTAGGTGTGGCTCTTGCCGGACGAGCACATAAGTTTACCTGATTTTACCTGCTCACACTGAAATTCCGCACCACCAGGCGGCCAGGCGTAACTTCGCTGACACAGGGGGAAATTAACTCGTCGATCAATAGCGACCCTAATTTACCCTGAGAGCCTCAGCTGTAATATGGCGGCTGTGGCTCGTGATCATGGCACCTACTAGGAAAGGGGGCCGAGATGTGTAGGATTGGGGCCTCAATCACCCCAGGAACCGAAACACAGATATCAGTAACTGAGGCCTATCCCTAAGCGGGAACTTCAAATAGAGATCTTGAGCAACCCCCCATAGCCTTGTAGTAGCCCTTACGGTCCGCTCGCTTGAGTGACACCTGGGCACGTCACGAGCTGAGTCCGACACCTTGGCAGGCCTCGGTTCGTACCGGATGTCAAGTGCTCGCAAATCAAGCTAATAACTGAAACAGTTATGTCAGTAATGCAACAAAAACACTACGTAGGACTACCATTCACCATGAGGCGGACCACAATCACCAGAATCCTCGCCGTAGTCATCATCATCAGCATCACCAGCATCATCATCGTTGCCATGATCATCATGATCGCGACTGCCATCATCAGCTTCACCACGAGTGCAAAGATTGTCATGATCATTCTCACCACTATTCACAGTCATTGTTTTCACGTGGAGCCTTTTGTCCGATCATGCCTACCACTGCCGGCTCCTTTGCATGGCCAGTCTCACCACTATGCTTGCGATTACTATTGCTAGTGTTCCTCTCGTTCGTACAGATCGCAGTTGCACCCTCCATGCTGTCACTTGTAGCCCATGGGGCAAGACTACTCTTCTTGCAATGGCCAGTAGTTGTGCATTCCCACTACTGCACTACTACAACGATCTTCCTGTATGCATGCTACTCTGCACTAACAGGTGGGTGTTTGGTTGCTCGCGGATTTCCTGCGAACTTCCAATAGGTTCGATAACGATTGCCATGACAGTTCCAAGTTTGACTTGTTGCCACGATCACCATTTCCTTCCCGTTCACAGCAACACTGGCAGCGTTTTTGCTGTGTCTGGTGGTTGCTTTCTACTGCAGCCTACCGCATCCTCGCCTTTATGACAAAATTAACAAGATACGTCAAAGAGAGAACAAGAACGGCAAATCGCTCATCGCATCAGACGCCGACTGAGATCCCAGCGAATTTTGCAAAGTCACGCTTCGCTGTCGCTTCTTTCGAGTCTCCTGCAAGCGTGACTCCAGGGTAGCGGTGGCTGGCTGAGGCTGCTTGGCCCTGAACAGTTTTAGGGTTTAGGGTTTAGGGGTTTGGGGCTTTAGGGGTTCAGGGTTTAGGGTTTAGGGGTTTAGGGTTTAAGGTGTGGAGCGGCTGTTGCCTTGATGTTTTAGTCTTTTGATGAGGCTCCTCTAGTCTTTGTGTTGCCATGGCGCGACGCATCCTTTCCCAGTTCTACTGCACCTTAAGGATAGGTGAAATGATGATCATCATCTTCTTCTTCATCGAATCAAGATCAACCAACATAGAAAAACCATTCATCATCATGACTAAGATCTTCAACTTTTACCCCAATCCCAAACCATAAAACCCCAAGCCTAACCCTAAACCCTAAACCGTGAAACACCAAAATTCCCTTGTTCTTCCGTTTTGCCCTGCCTTGGCCCGGCCATTGAAGGCTTCCGAGCTCGGCTTCGCAGCCTGACAAGAGGAAGCGGTTAGGAGTTGAGGAGTTTAGGGGTGTAGGGATGCCTCCTCCTCCATAGCTGCTATACTGCCTCTCCTGCTGCTCATGCTCCTGTCCCTGCTCCTACTCCTCCTCCTGCTCCTCCTCAGTCCTCCTGCCCCACCTGCTCCTGCTGTGTTGAACAGCACAAGAGAGCCTCAACAAGAGCGCCAAGCAGCTAGCGACTAGCAAGTTCGATCTGCTGTACTTACCGACGAAGTTGTTCTTTGTCGTTGCATCTCATGTTGTGCTGTGGCGAGTGTTGATGGTGTTGAAAGCTTTTGTTACCATTGCCATTGTCCATGAGTTCGCATGTTCCATCATGGCTGCCTTCTTGAATCTACTGCAATTCTTACCTTGCCCAGATGTTGCAAGCACCTTCTTCGGGGCCGTCGTGGACTCCACCAGTTTTTCGGCCTGCGAGACATCTCCCAAAGCAGCTGCAAGACTTCGGCGTTGAATTCTAAGGTGCTTTGGGGCTTAAGTTGTAAGCCCAGCCTCGTCATTCATCGCTGCTAAACTTGTCGGCTTCGCAGCCTGGCTCATGCATGTGAAGGGCTTGAAGCAAGGAACACCGATTGCCTTGAGACGCCCCGGTTTTCTTCGTGCGTCCTGCGACGATGGGCGCACCTTCTTCGGGGCGGTGGTCGTTTCCACCAGGATCTCTGCCTCCAGTGACTCATTCCCCCACATGAAGCCCTCACTTTTCGAAGGTTAAAGTCAGGCCTGGGAGACCTTCCGCTTCATTCCCGGAAGGGCTGCCTGCTTTCCGCCGTTTGGTCATGGGTCATGCTCTGAGCGCTGGGGTCCACACCGGCTGCTCGGACATTAGCTTGAACCGGTCCGTGATGACCGGATGCCTGGCGCTGCGCCCACGGCAAGCGAGGAAGACTCAAGAACAGAAGCGCGCCACGGAAGACGCTGGGTCTATCAGCAAGGGGCAGAGCATCGACACCTGCCGAAGGATGGGTCTGACATGCTCCGGCCCTGGAGGAGTAGCGAAGTGTTTTGCAGGACTAGGGCCTCCGGTGGCGAACGAGACACGAAGAGGTGGCAAATACAGTGAAACCTGACAGATCTGTCCCGATGGCTGTGAGGCAAGCCAGATGAAGGGCTGGGAAATTGCCAACGCTTGAGGCGTCAGCCCATGATGGAAGAGATTCCGCAGGACGGGCATGCGAAAGCAAGCCCCACCTCGCCAGAGCCGACAGAGCCACAGAAACAGCAGAAATCTCACTCAAAAAAAATGCTCGGAAGCATTGAGATTGCGGCCCAAGTCCATGTCCGGAGCCAGAGGGGACTCCAGGCACAGTTGCACTTTTGGTCCCCAACTGTCGTGCGGGCCTCCGAATCTCCGAATCACCGGCAGGATCTTTTTTGCATGGGAAGAGTTTCGAAACCGCGCACGGCCTCGCTGCTTCCTCTCGGGGAAACGGCCAGCCTGGGACACGGCTGCAAGTAAACAAAAAAAACGCTCAGGTGGAGCACTGCAACTTGATGGAGCTTCTAGCACCCCTGCCTTCGCGAAGGTCGATCCGCCATCGAGAACCGAGATGCCCTGCCAAAGAAAAACATGATTCAAGTGTGCTGGGTGTATAGGAACGGTCAAAGAGTAGCTTGTCGAACTCTGCATGATGAGTTGAGCGCCTGATCCTTGTAGTTGAACTCCTGCCCATAGTACCTCGCAGCAACTTCCATGCCAAAACCAGGCAGCCACAAGAACGCTAGAAGAATGTGGAAATAGCCAACACTGCCACGACTCAGCTGTTGGGCATGCGAATTTGGCAAACGAGCCGAAGGCAAGCAAGCAAGCAAGCAAGCAAGCAAGCAAGCAAGCAAGCAGTTTGAATCACATAGCATCATACTGTACTTTCCTGTCCGGTTGCGTGCTCTCTCCGCATAACTCCACAAAAGGGCAGGAAAGAGGTGCCGGCAACAATGACGGAACACATCTTCGTGGGCGGCAGCAGACGGCGACATCATCATGGCCAGTATCATCACCATCGTCATCGTCATCCTCATCTTCTTCTTGACGTGCAGAGACACATCGGCACCAGCAGCAAAGGCGCCAAAGCCCCGAAGATACTTTTGTACTGCGATGTAGTCTGGCTAGGAGGGAAGATGCCGGCGCATAGCATTCTGCTCACGACATGTCACTTCAGGAAGTCGAAGAGCAGGTGTCCCAACGAAGTTCCGGCATACCTGGGCACCAGCAGTCGCAACAGGCGCACCAAGAAATGCATGATGTCGCATGGGATAGCTCTGGCTCTGCGGGATCCCTGTCACAGCATACTCCTCTTGCGAAGGCATATAGAGTTCTAACATTTTGCCTCGAACATCCCCACCCTACAGATAATGCATTGGGGGCCACACCACTGACTGGCGCTAGGGTCCCCGGTCACGTAACAAAATACAAGTGCTCGATTCAGGTCATTCGACGACCCATTGGGTCACACCACTGACTGGCGATACGGACGTGGGGTCCGCATACACGTAACAAAACACGAGTGTCCGATTCAGGTCAGTCGAGGATCCATTGGGGCACACCACCGACTGGCGTTAAGGTCCTGGAGTCCCCGGGTTCGGCAGTCCAGGGAGTCTCACGGTAGTCATCGATAGTCTCTAGGGGTGGGCACTCCAGGCAGTCTCTGAAGGTAGTGTCAGCGGGCGAGGACGGACGAGGAGCGGGCGGGAGTAATAGCTGACTTTAAATTCTAACAACCCCACACCGAAATTGGGTTCCCTTTAAGGGTTCCCTTTAAGGGTTCCTTTAAGGGGCTTAGGGTTTTGCATGGATCCAGAAGAACCTCCATCTTTCTGAGCCGGCTCACTGGCGGGCACTCCGGGATGACGGATGCCTCTGGAGGAAATGAAGAACCACGTTGCAGAGGAGGTAGGAGCCCATACCACCTGCTGAGGTCCGTGCTTTAGGATCTGCATGCTCTGTCTGACTCTGGAAAAATGTGGCCTGTGTATGTCTCGTGGAGCCCTCGCTGGAGAAGGAAGTACTTCAGGAATAGAAGCAATGGCTTCATCTGCGGATACTCCTTCGGATGCATGCTGATGGTCCGAGAAGCAACTCGTGCCGTCGAAACATAGAAGCAGCTGGTAGCACTCCTTCAGCTTGGAGCGGATGAACTTGGAGGAGTCCATGCCATCCGGCTGCAACAAGGGGCAGTGGTTTTTTCACACGCAAAGCAAGAGCTTAGGGTTTAGGGTTTAGGGTTTTGGGTCTCTATTTCTCCCGGCTGCCTGACTGAAGACCACATCGGCACGAAGGCCACATGACTGCGACCGAACCTTGATCACCGGCACCTGCCAAGTGTGCCATTGATCCATGGTCTGGGCTGACGACAGCGGAGAGTTCGCCTTCGCTGTCTCGATGATTTCCAACCAGCTAATCTCTCCCTTGGAGAGTAGCTGATCCTCACGGTCGATGCATGTGCAAGTGCCTTCGCTCCCTAGACTTCGACACGCTGATCCGGCCAAACTCAGCAACACAGTCCGCCAGCATCTTCATCGCAGTACCTGTCCTACATGGACGGCACTCAAAACAGCATGCTCGATTCCAGATTAGCACAGTCTGTCTATCGTTCGTCGGCACATGAATCGGAAGCTACGAAAAATAATGCAAATGAAATTTTCCGTTCGCTTGTTGAATACCACCGGGTGCACAAGCCCCTGCTTGGCAAAGGCTACTCTGAAAGTGCAGATTCGAAATTTGGATTAAACAAACGGTCTCTGCACCATTGCCGGACAAGATCTTGTCAGGCTAAGCGGTCCTGGGTCAAGATTGGACCGAGAACTCTAGGCAGGTTCGATTATGCAACATGACGATTCTCGCTTCATGCTCGTGGGATTTTGTGTCGCAGCGGGTTCTTTCGAGTCCTTCTGATGAAGTCCTAGCCTGTCACTCCAATCGAAGCAGATGCTATGTCTTCACAATCTTGACCCCGGCCCAGACATCGCAAAGGTGTTCTCTGCAAGCAATGTTACGACAGGTAACCATGAAGGCACCAAGTTCTGCAGCCTCACCCAGAAAAGCGGGTCTGCACAGCTGCGGAGAGATGATGCGCATGCTGCAGCGTCCACTCAAACTGTACAATGCTGCGCTGCACTGCCTTCCACTGAAAGCTGACATACTGTACCTTGGCCGTCTGGTCTCTTGTGTGGTTTTTGCCGCAAGCCCGGCTCCGGGGAGAGGACCGGAAGCCGCAAACCCCAACACACAGCCTGCTGCTTTGCAAATCAGGCGGCGACCGAGACATTTCCAGATCAAAGACTTTTGTGGATGCCGCTTGTGTGCATCCCATGTCTACAAAACTTCAGGAGCTGTCGGGGCCTAGACGACATCGCCGACCAGAAAAGTCAAAGATAGGTGTTGCAAGACTTGGGTGGCGGCTGAGTTGCAGCTTGCCTTTGCCGCCATCGGAGGCTGTAAACGAACCTGAGGCATGTGAGGTGTAAGGAGCTTCTGAGAAAGAAGTGTCAAGCTTCCATGCCTGTGATCTGCGCGACGTGATGACTGTAGAAGACATGTCCAGTAGCCTGCGGAGAGTGGCGGACAAACGACAGAAGAAGCCTTACAAGACAAGCCAAATCAAACAGGTGGCCCAATGAGAAACCCTCAACCATAAACCCAAACCCTAAACCCCAAACCCTAGATGTGAGCAACAAGAAACGATGAAACCGGCCACACAGTCGTGTAAAGGGCAGCGAGTCGAGGCGGCCCCGAACATCTGGCCGAGCGAGACCTAAACTCCCAAGACAAACTTGCTAATAAGAACAATAACCAGAATAGTACTGATAATACTGATATTGCTAATAATTCTACGAATACTCAAGAATACTTAGCTGCTTTACTACTCATACTAATAACACGAATAACACCAACACTACTAATTACTAATCATGCTGATAATAGTGGGTAGGCTTTCGGCTTTTGGCGTCGCAGCGGTTACCTCCACGGTGCCCCACGGATGCCTCTCCACCTCGCTGGAGCAGTGTCGCTGAACATGGCTTACAGGCTGACACAGAATGGGATCCGAGGGTTTGGCTACTGAGAGCTTTTCCGAATTCCATGCTGCGTGGCGTTTGAGCTTTGGGTCTCTGATCTCAGGACTCATGCGGATGAGGTCTGAGAGCCGCACCCACGTCACACGCTTGCTGGACGGGTCAAAAGTTCCAGAGATGGCAGCGAAGCCGTCGGGACCTGCAAAGTCCGAAAGGAAACGCCCCGTGCGGCGAATCATTGGGGGGGTTCCTGCCTTGGGTACTTCCAATCAGTTCGTTGTCCCCGAGGAATCGGAGGTCGTACCTCTACGTGCAAAGCCCGAAGAGTCCGACGACGCATGTGAGGGCATCGAAAAGACCGGAGCACTTGTTGGTGCGCTGGTGAGTGCGCTCCATCAAGGTACCCTTCCAAGCCTCACACAAATGGGGCTGGTGATGGTGTTCTGGTCGCAACATGTCGAAACCATCATGAAAAGGCAACGGTAGCCCAAGAGCATTCCATGAGACTTCTGAGTGTTCTGAGTCTTGCACCCCGCTGGGCGGAGGAGGACGGTGATAGCCCTTGCAAACAAAGAGTCGGCTGATGTCTAGATGTGCAATACGCTTCGCACTCCAGCGACATAAGCTTTAAGGGTTTAGGGTTTAGGATTTTAGGGTTTAGGGCTTAGGGTTTGGGGTCTCTGAGTTTCAGCATCAAGCCCACTCTGAGGCACATGCCCTGAGTGGCAGTGACCCACCTGCGCAAGTTTCAAGCAACCGAACCTCAAGAGGAGACGACACGGGGGATAATCGACCGGATTAAAGATGTCGGCACCGATCAGTACACGCCCTGATCGTCCCCCCTTTAGTAACCGTATGGCAATCGAAAAGTAAGCGCACAGTACCCTCGTAGTAACCTTTATAGTATCCTACAAGATCCTACAAGCAACAATACAATACCCCTATAGTATTATTATTATTATTATCATTATTATCATTATTATTATTATCATTATTATATATATATATATGTATATTAACATGTATATGTATATAATACATATATATATATAGCATCTTCAAGCTACCCATTGTCGTGCCTGTGGGACTTTGGAGGTGGTCGTGCAGCTGCTGGCGCATCACTGGCGCGAGGATTGCTCCAATCAAAGCGACAGCATCACGATTTTAACCTGAAACAGAATCGGGTTTTATGGGACAGCGTGTAGTATGCTATTCTATAGGTCATATTGAGACTATCAGGATATAATCGATCATATTTGACTGAAAAGCCCTCACGAAAACAAACAGGAGGCGTGGCAATCGGCACCAGTCGTGGTGGAGATGCTGTGCCGGCGACCTTTGAGCAAATGTCGCAGTGCAACACAAGACCCTTACCACAAAGCCCGGCTCAAAGCGTGCCAAGTCTCTGACCTCTTTCTGCATGCTTCCGCTGGTTGTCAGCAAGAGCTGCTATCTGCAAAGGTGGTCCATCACTATGTACCATCCCACAGGCCGTGACGCAAATGGCTTGCTTACTACACCATATGGAGGCACTTTGGAGATCATAGGGATCTTAGCATCCCGCCTGGGAGGCATCGCTCAGGTTCAATGGATCCTCCGCATCCCCTCGTGGTACCACCAGATGTCGTCTCAAACTCTGGAGCAACGTTTATCGGGCAAAGCCGCGCCTATGGTTAATGGAGACACGCGCGCCATCTTCCGAGCCTTAGCTTCCGGAAGGCTCGGAAGTGCTTCGCAGCTTTGAATCACTCACAGCCTCCAGGAGTAGAAGTAGTCTGCACTCGTCGTACCCAGGGGCTTGAGGAATGAGTACAATGTTTTTTTTTTGAGGACCTGAATTCCTGGGCAACATCCAGAATGGTTGTGGGTTTAGGGTGCCGGTTCTGTAAGAGTTCTACTTGCAATGGTACCGTCGCGTTCGTGGGAGGAGGGCTGCTGAGCGGAATCTCACCGCTTAGCTCCTGGCACCGGCGGGTACGGAAATGCTCCGAGATCCCGAGTCTCCTGCCAGGGTTTAGGACTTAGGGTTCAGGGTTTTGTGGGATTTAGGGCTTAGGGTTTAGGGTTTAGGGTGAGTAGGACTGGGAAGCATTGTGGCTCCATGTAAAGAAGCGTTGGGGCCAGAGTGTCTCATTGTGCAGCTGTGCTTTGCGGCTTCTGGACTCGGTGCCACTTGGCCTCGTGAATTTCTGGAACAAAATTTGACAAGTCTCGTCCTTCGTGGTCATGCCGATGGACTCCGGGTTCCGAGGCTGCCAAATGAGCGACAAGAGCAGAGCACGCCCTTGCAAGCAAATGTGAATCTCCATGCACCTCGGCTGGATTTCCGGCCTTTGTGCTTCACAAAGGCCTCACACACTTTGGAAGTGCAGCTGCTTGGTCAATGATGGTGACTCCATAAACTCTTGCGAGCAGTCAACCCTGCCTGACTTGTGCTGCTGTCGGTGGCAGCGGTGCTTCCTTTGCTACCGTTACGTCCACTACGTCCTTTGCTGCCGGCGCGATTGCGACTGTGGCTGCGGGGATCCTGGCAGTCGAACCCTCGCCATTCCGAGCTTCAGCCGCAGCCTCAACGGTTGACGACCTCCAAGTCGTGCGCCGGCGCTGAAGGCGGAGATTCGTCGGAACCTGACAGGTCTCTAGGTACGAAGCTCAACTGACATTAAAATCGCATCAAAGCAGAAGGCACTGCCTTTGTCCGGGTCTGCTGCTTCTCGAAGAGCTTCTTCCCGCTCTTCTCTCTCACGCCTCTTCTTCTCGGCCTTCAGCTGGTTTGGGTCAAGGGAAGCTCGAGGCTGTCTGTGGGTTCGTCTCCCCATCAGCCCTAGCCCCAAAAGAGTCACAGAGCTGCACACGTTGCGAGGCAGACTTGCCCAGCGTGCCAAAATCCGAGGCAAATCCCAGAAACCCGGCAGCTTACACTTTCATATTGTTTTAAGTGTCACATGCCCTAATCATTTAGGTTGTGCAGGAATGTATGTGGCAGCTACGTAGCTAGTTGCGCTGCTCTGCAGAATTCGGGATCCCCGATACCTGTTTCGTCGTGGCCCATGATGAACAGCAACCCGGTCTAGGGTTTAGGGTTTAACGCACGCCCAGGAGACCAGAGCAAACCAGAATACCAGAATGCCCACAAACCGAAACCTGGAACCCCTTAAGATAATTCACCAGTCACGCAGGGATTCTTCTTAGTCTTGGGAGCTCCGGCTAAGACTGTGCTCATGAGCCTGATAAGGATCAGTTTCTGTACTTGGCTACGGTACATGTCACACAACCTTTCAAGCTACCTGTTCAAACCAAGACAGTTGGCTAGATCTGAGCAGACGGTGATGCGTGCAAATGTCGAGACGTCGAAAAACAAAGCAGAGCTTCGGAGCATCTCTCTCGAACATCTCCCCATACAGCTACAGTCTTTTGTATCCCCGCAGAGAAGGTATCCAAGACCCTAGGCTCCGAACGCGAAATCTTCAAAGCAAAAGGACCCGATTCCTGGGCATCCAACTCGCTCAAAGATGATCCGGTCCTGCTCAGTGGCCTGGCTTCAGAGGTCCAGGAACGGCTAGCTCGACCTCTTGGTCTTGTATAGAAGAAGGTTTGGGCTTTTGGAGCAGGGCTTAAGTTTAGGGTTTTGGGCTTCGGGCTTCCGGTTTGGGGTTTCGGGTAGCTGGAAGGTTCAGGTTTAGGGTAGCTATGATGACAATTGTGCTTTGGCATCAGACCTGCAGGTAAATGAGACCATAAGTTGGAACATCCCTACATCTCGCGTGTTGCGACAACGATGATGTCTGCTCGTCAGCAACGCTTTGAAAAACTGTGGATGATGGCACTCCAAGCTAGTCGCACTCTAAGCATGCAGGTGTTGTATCTTGTCGCCACTCTGCCCTGCAATAGTCTGGTGAGGTGTCCTAGGCTTGGATTGCCGAAGAAGCGAATCGGAAAGGGGCTGCATAGTATCTCTCTGACTCCCCGCAAGCCGCACCTCTTCGATGGGGTTCTTGTGCGCAGGATCCAGGTGGAGCGGGATCTCAGGTCGGCTAAACCCAATCCGAAGCTCTGATCTTTGGATGTGCGACAGAGGCATGGGCCGCTATTAGGAGCCAGAGGTCCTGGCGATTCCTGTCAGGGTTGAAAACGTTCTCAAAGTCAATATCCTACACGTCACAACGTCGGGACCTCCAGGTGAAGGCACAAAGCCCGGTGCACAGGCCGAAGAGGATGATGCCTCCAAGCTCACACGATCAAACAATACCAAACACTACAGGGACCAGATGCGCATGGGATCCGGCCTACCACGACGAGTATGATGTACTCATTGTGGAACACCCCGTCACCTGGACCACGCAGTACTTCAGGGTTATCCGTTATCGTACAGGCTTTCTTACCGCATCCGTGGGCTCTCTAAGTCTCTAATTGTGTAACCTCAGGTGCCGGTATTCCGGTCACCAACAGCCCGCATCAGCCTGCCATCAAAGTCTTGCTGCCCTCTTCAAAGTCAAGGCGACCTGCGCTTTTGCACTGGCTGCGGAACTATGAACCAGCAGATCCCGAGCGGCCTCACACTGAGGTTCGGCAGCTGGCACTGGTCATGGCCCAGTGTTATGGCTCCAAGTCTACGAGCGGAAAGGCCTGGTTGAAAGATACGCTTAGAGGCTGACGTCTATGCTACACTGTCGCCTACTCTGGTAAGGATGACAGTGACCGTCTGTCGTGTCCGGGAGGGCTTGCAAAGTTGAAGGCTTGCAGCTACAAGCTTGCAGTCCAAAAGGCAGCGTCAGGTTGTCACACAAAATAATCGAACCTGAACCCTGACCCAAGCCCCCAGTCGTCCCAGCCCTTTACAGGCAGGTGCACTTGCACGCGACATCGGTGACTGCGACATCCACATCTCCATTGGGCAGGGAGAGGCCGGTGAAGAAGGATCCAAAAACCGAGACCTGTCAATGTATGCTTGCTGAAGATAGATAGATAGATAGATAGACAGACAGACAGACAGACAGATAGATAGATAGATAGATAAAGATACACACACAAATGCATAAATAAATAATACATATATATATATATAGATGCATACGTACATATATATATATATGCATGCATGCATGCATGCATGCATGCACGCACGCACGCACACACACATGCATGGATGTATGTATGTATGCATGCATGCATGCATGCATGCATGCATGCATGCATGTATGTATACATATAAAATAAGAACCAACATATTAATATATTCACATAAAAAAGAATATTAATTTATTCGTATATATTGTGTTGAGATGTTATCATATCTGTATATTGATAGGTTTATAATTTGACAAGCTTCTATATATACATGAATTTATATACACACACATGTATACGAATATGTCCATATACAAATCTGCCTATATATTAACATATTTATATACTAATATAGTCTAGTTTTGTAGAACAATATATAACACTATGTAAGAATATAGTAATTACTTATTTCATATTATGCTGTATTGTGCATTATATTATATTATATTTATATATATATATATTTATATTTATATTCATATCTATATTTATATTTGTATATATCCGCACACACACACACATACATAAACAAATACGCTGCAAAGGCCCGCTACCACCTTTAAGGTCTATTTCACCACGGTTTCATCCTCACCATATTTCTAGCTTAGCTGGATTTTGCATGAACTCCCGTGACAAGTCCCATGGGCCGAAAAGCTCTGGACCTTTATGGATGTATTGGAACATGACATCTAACCATGGTCTTCCTGCCCCCTCGTCAAAAAACAAAAAACAACGACAACAATACCCACAGCGACAGCGACGCCATATGCCGCCACCACCACCAACAACAACAACAACTACAACAACAACGACTAGGATGACAACAGGGTGTTGGCATCAATGCATGAAAACTCTCTTATTGCAACTACAGGCACCAACACAACTATGATTCTGTTCCGACAACAGTCACTCGAATCAGCAATTTGATGACAGGATCGACATGTCACGTTGTCAATGACACGGATGGAAGCAGCACAACCTGGCAGCACGAAGAAGAAAGTCAATGACTAACAATATGGTCGCTGATTTTTTGATATTACTCGTACTGGAAGTGGTATGACTGATGACAGTGGCATTGCTAGTGATTATCGCTGTTCTTCGTCTTACTCGCGCTATTCTCGCAGATCATACTCAACTCGGTGTGCAATTTTGTGCTGACCTGCTTTCCTGCTTTGACTGCGAAAAATTCAGGCGACGTTATTGAGGCTATGACACGTCACAGATGAGGTATGCCAAGGCTCCCCCCAAGGCCCCCCCCTCCCAAAAAGAAACAAAAAACAAACAAAGAACACCCACTGGTCGAGTCGACGCCCGCCTTGCAGCCTGGCCACAAAGCCTTGCAGGTGTCCTTGATGGTCTGCACCTTACGGACCATGGAAGAATCAGAATGACAAGTTCTACTGTTGATGATGTAAATCCTGCATTACCTTAAGAACCCTAAACTATGGGAATTCTGGTATATTCCTTATTAACCGGTAATGCAGGATTTATATCATCAACCGTAGTAGTCTAGCCAACACTCATGCCCCCAGGGAATACTGGCCACTGATCAGGCGGCGGACCCATCTTCGCCGGGCATGCACCTACAAACATGAGCCTTTGATTCACCGACGATCGTGGCTGTAGAACGGCCTCCTCTTGAGTATGCTGCATGAAGTCGACGAAGTCTAAGATCTCCTAGTGCACAAGTTGTGGGTTTCTCTATATGGAGATTTGGGCAACAGCAGCTGGCCTCGTGCAAGCGGAGAACCTGCCGTAGCCACCATCAAGCGAACACACGAACATGTCTGCCCCGCCCGCTCCACCCTCCCCAACACTATACCCCAGAATCGCAGCAGCTTTGCGCACCGCATTGTCGATGTGGGGCCGTGGAACGAACCTATAGCCAAGTCAAAAACTTGCACAGGCTGGGATGGCTTTGACTCGGCCGAGCAGCCATGGTGGTTGGCCCTCGTCGGCCACTGCCCTTCTCGAGGGGACGCTTTTCGCGTTGGTGACACCCATAAACGCCTCAGCTGGGTGGCTGGGTGCAGGCAAGCCTGGCCAAGCCCTCAACTAAATGAAGTCTCGACTGTGAACGTAACATCGGGCAAGATTCTTTGCACTGACGTTTAAACCATGCTCACACTCGCAAGCCTCGGGAGCTGCCGCGGCTTGTTCTTCGCGCGGCTCTTCCCGGCCTCGTCGAAGTCTGATCATCGTACTGTGAATTGGCATTCTGCATTTTCATGGGTCTTCTTTCACTATGGCAGCCATCCTTCTCTTCAGAAAGACTGAGATGATCACGATCACACGGCAACAACAACCATGAACACCACAGGCCAGCATCATCATATCGCCACCATCATCATGTTCATCTTCATCAACATCATCACCGTGCACGACGATATCTTGCTTCGCGATAGGATTTGATGCCGTGACTACTCAAGTTTTGTATATTGCGGTCACTGGGCTGAACCCTGTGGTCATTTGGAGTCATTGCGACTGCTATGATGTTTCAAGGCCCATTGAAGTCATTCTGACTGAAATGCCAGCTAAAAGCCAAAACCAGCAGAGCTGCTCGTGACGATTCCGACAGGTTCCTTGTGAAATAATGCGGGGGTAGGATGTATGCATGTGTTCTGGTGATTAGTATGCCGAATACGCTTCGGCTGTACGCTGAAATTCGTGGTGCAACTGTTGATGCACATGCTGCAGTATGCCGAACATGCATGTTAATGGTTGCTCTGCCAGTTACTGTCATGTGTGTCCTGGCTACGAACATCTGCTGACAAGCCTGATAAGCAGAGTTGTCAACTTCGCAAATTACGTAGGTAATGTGGCTGTTGCAATGCTTGCGAGCATGCTGCTTCTTACATCTTCTTTCCAAGTACCATGGATGAGGGTCACACCCTGATTTGCGATGTGAAAGCCGCGTCCGAGGACGGGCATTCTCTGTGAATGGAGTAGGGCTCCAATGCTCTCCCTCAATCATGGTCATGGTGGCTCTACCTTCTTTGGAACCAAGACTCTTGCTATTGCTGCTAATATTGCGAAGCAGCTCGGAAAGGGCGCTACTGCTCACTGCTACCACGACTGCTCTACCACTGCTACTGCTGCTGCGCCCAAACGGCTTTAGGGTTTAGGGGCTTGGGATCTAGAGCAAATCATAAGTTTCCTTGTAATGGCAACTTAAATTACATCCCGTAACAAGAACTGAAACCCTAAACCCTAAACCCTAGAACCCTAAACCCTAACACCCTAAACCCCAGAACCCTAAACCCTAACACCGTAAACCCTAGAACCCTAAAATCCTAAAGGGGGTTAGGATTTAGGGCTTCGGGTAATCCTTCGCACAGAGCCTCCTGAGCCTGGGCCCAGGGCCCAGAGATCCTTTTTAGGGTTTAGGGTTTAGGGTTTGGGGTTTTCCGCAGCTGGGCAGCGGACGTTTTCTGAGAAGAGATCGCATGGAAGCGTTTCTCTCTGCCTTTCCCAAGGCATCGGAGGGGATGGTTTCTTGTGGCGTAAATATTGTAGATTATTGTAGTACAACTATGTAGGGACTTTGTGGAGAGAAGTTACTCAAGTCCGTGACAGCGCGCTCGCCTGCTCTGCATTTCTCTCTGCATCTTCCTCGATCAAGGCCGCATCCTCACAAATCACGTGGAGAGAGGAAGAGACAGGGGCAGGGAGGGACCACCATTGCCATCATTGCCTCTTCCCGGAGCCATCCAGGTCTCGAAGTCACCTAGGCCCGGCTTTTCGTTACGGCCCAAAAAGCGAGAAAGCGCAACAGCTTCCTGAAACCGCGTGTGGTCCCAGCCTCAGAGTCCATGGCTGCTTGCGCAGCTCTGCAGCTCGGGAGAAACGCCGAATCAGTTTCAGTGCATCTTTTGGTATCTTAAAGTATACCACTTATTGCAGTAAGTATTTGTGTGTAGTGCTCCGTGGCATTCTGTGGCTGTGGTTTGGAGCAGGCTGCGCTGCTGCCCTTGCTGCCTGGGAGCGCAGGGACGTCGACAGAACAAGCGTCAATGACCTGGGGATTGTGGGATTGAAGTGTAGTCAAGGCTGTCCAAACCTCCTCGTGCGTCGCCTCAGCTGTTTAAAGCCTCTCGCATCTTGATCCAACAAGCTAAGGTAAGCCAATGCAACATCTAGAAGCTCAAGCTCACTCGGCATCCCGTGATTCTCTGAGATGTTGCTGCAGATGCATTCAACACCTTTCTCTCTAGCCATCTGTCGCGGCGGAGACCTGCTCACGAAGCTTTGCCACCTGCAGAAAGCTGCGGCTCCCATTGCGGAAAACACCGTGAACTCTTTTATGCATATGGAGGTTAGTACCCTAAATAGTAGGATCCCTAGTATAAGAACCCCAAAATAAGGTAACCCCCCCTATTTCTGCAGACCGAGCCTGCTCACGAAGGCGCAGGAGCAGCGGGTCTTCCGCCTTGACTGCTCTCTCCCCCTGCCCCCCCGACCCCCGTCTGACGTCTCTGACTTCAAGTCCTAAACCCGAAACCCTAAAGTCCTGAACCCTCAACCCTAAAGTCCTAAAGTCCTAAACCCTCAACACTCTTAAAGCTGGAAGGAGTCGAAGAAGACAAGGCCAGAACCGCTTCCTTGGCCGGCCGGGAAGAAGACTCTGCCTGGTCAGCTCCAGGCTCTCAGCGGCTGAGATCACTGAATAATATGTTATAACATATTATGACATATATATATATAAGACATATAAATACATATATATATATATAATTATATATAACTATATATAATTATATATAATTACATATAATCATATATAATTTCATATGTATATTATATATATATATACACTGTTGTATAGTAGTATTTCATTAAGATGTAACGTATAATGTATGATATAGATCTCTGAGGCGTCCGCATAGCCCTTCTTGCCCCTCGGCACAAGCACTCGGCAATCGAACTCCTACAAACAGGCTCGAGCTCTATCTGCTTCAAGGGGAATGCAAGGTGGTGTTGAGCCGCTTCAAGGAGATGGGCCGTCAGGCTCCAGAGGTCGCCGCAGTCAGATTTTCTCAAGCAGCGCACATGTACCGGTGTCGTCGTTTCGTGGAGTTGTTCAACTAGCTACCTGAGGCTTAAAGTGCAGCAGAAACAGGGACCAGTTCCTTGCGGAAGCTCGCGTCTGTTTTTTTAAGCAAAACAGTCTCGGGCTTCCACAAGGAACTTGTTCTTGCTTTTAACTAAAACAGCTCCTTCCGCAACTCAGGGCCCAGCTTTGCCATGTCCCGTCGATTTGCCAGCAGGGATTGGTTCAGCTCCTTGACAAAACCTCATCGTCACCCCCTTTCCCAGAACTCCAGAGTCGCACTCGAACCGATCAGGACTGGCTAAGAACGCCGCCCAACTGTTCCTGAGCTTCTGTCAAGTTGCGCTGCGCCGTCACAAGCTGCTTCTCAAGCACCTGCCACGACGTCTTGATGCAGGATATAAAGAAGCGAGTGCTAAAAATAAAGATGTTCCGGTTCCAGGCACTGCAACTCTGCAAGTCAGGATTCAGTTGCTCGGACAGCCTATCCACTGTAGCGTGCGGTCCCCGAACACGCAAAAAAACTGCATCAGGCCCGCTGCTGCAACGGGCAGCCACGCTATCGGTGCCTTCTTATGCTTCTCAGCAGCTTCGATCTCCGCCTTTCGACAAGCGCTCTTCAGAAAGATCGCTGCAATTCTCTGAGGGCCCTCTGGGACGCTGACTTGCCAATTCTGTGCTCGAAGCTCTTCGGCCTTTCTCCCACAAGATGCTCCATCGGAAAAAACAGACTTGCTGAAAACGTGCAGAATGGGGTGTTGGAGGAGTGGGCAGGCTGCTCGGAGCGCACCTCTCGGGCTTCTTTGAGCCCTTCCACGATTTCGCCGTGCTGTTGGTGCAGCTCCGTCAGCTGAGCCTCGTAGAGCGACCGCCTCAAAGAGTGCTCAGGCTCCAGCCCTGCCCACCACTTGCATGGCACACTCTACGAGTCTACGAGTACCGAGGAAGGGACTGATAGTCGAGCTGGGATGCCAGGATCGCATCCAGCTCCATGGAGAGCAGATGCTGCTGGCAGCGGGAGGGAGCAGAATCGGAGCTGACTGCAGTCTGCGTGTGGGTCACAGCTCGGCCTCATCCGTGGAAGCTGCATCCTTGGCGATTCATCGGATGGGAAGGCGGTCACGCAATGATCACACTGTGACTGTGACTATAACTTATAGACTATAACACTCGCAAGCCTCGATTGGGCCTCTTTAATTTGTCCCAGCTAGAGAAGTTGCATAAATTCGGGACCCTTTCCACGCAGCCCCGGCCGCCCGGCCCTGCCCAGGCTCTCTCTTGCACTCAGAGCCTGCATGGCGCATCATGGAACCGCGCGAACTTGTTTGCGAGGGGTTCTCATGATCTCAGCTCGTCGGCCTTGCTGGTACGAGCCTTTCTGGGTACGTGATCCAGTGGCGACTCCGGGAATTCTACATTTGTGGCTGGACTCTCCGCACAACTCCTTTCCTGTGGCTGGTGACATGAAGCATCTTGGCACACACGCAGAGGAAAATGAAAAGCAAAATTATCGGCACCAGAGGCTTAAACTTTGTTCCCATCTCTTATGGGCACTGTCTGGTCTATGCTAGCACCGACAAGGTTTCAGGTGGTATCCGCTTCTCTCTCCTATAGGAACTCTCACGAGGAGACACAGAACTCATCTTTCTCACATGGATGGATTGGAGAAGGAGACCAGGCCAAGGCGAAGACGGTGAGCATCAGCGGGGACTGAAAAAAAGTCATACCCAGGAACGCCAATTGTCGGGCACATGGCTTCGAAGATTTGAGGAGGGCATAAAGCATCGCGCAAAACCAACAGATGCACACCAGTGTGCAAAAGTTAGCAGCAGCTACAAGAACACAGCACGACGAAGGCGGCTATGGTACTTGTAGCTGGAACGACAAACCTGTCCTGTGTTTTACCCTCAGCTGTAGGGACATGAAAGCGGCTTGGGCCTTGGCCTTTGATCCAGAGGAGGCCGCTTCGCCGCTGATCTGGGTGCAGGGAATCTGTGAATCTCGGAATTGCCCTGTAGCTAGGCCATGTGTGATGACAGCGGCTGGGACTGTGCAAGATGTCAAGTTTGAAGATTCATTCAGCTCAGGGCAGCCGTCTTCAACGACCAATGCCGACAACTCTAAAGGAGCCGTCTCTATTTTCTGAAACGCAAAGCTCCACCTGAACCCGTGGTTACGTACTGCGGTGTCTTGCCAGGCTTCCGGCGGCTGGAGCTGGCAGCGCCAACCTGATCAAAGCCAACCTATGAAGGGTCGAGGGATACAGGTCCCTTTAGGCGGTATGGCGTTTAGCGCACACAGTTTTTGGTCCAGGGTCTAGGGTTTGAGTTTCTGAGTTTCAGGGCGGCTTTGGCCGCAGGGCTGTGCAGGATCTACAATAAGATGCCATGAGCTTCGCCGCAGGACGCCTGAGATTGAAGTTGCATGCAGGTGGTGTTTCTCGCCGTCGCCGTGCTGCATCGTAAACATGTAGTGGTGGCTGAGATGTTGCTTCAGAGTCATGCGACAATTTCGAGAAGCTGCAGGCCCTCTGGTTTTTGGAGACAGCTCCGCCTTTCCAGATCATGTTGTGTGCGTTGCATCCGTAAAGGGGATCTTTCCAGAAAGAAACTGTCCGCTCAAAAAACACTCAAACCCGAAGCTTGGCCGGGGGCTCGTAGCGTCCACCGGAAGCCGCGGCTTGTTGCACCAGCCTGCCAAGAAAGGTGATCGCACAAGCAACCCAGTCCATTTCAGAGTCCATCCTTCACGAGAATCCACACCCAGCGCAAAGTTCACCCGACTCACTGATGCCCGCTTAAGACTTGCTCTGTTCAGTCGATCCAGTCCCACGTCTGCACCTGCGGTGAACGAAAACATCACACTCGTAGTCCCAGATCCGGCCAGTGGCCAGCTGGAAGCCTGACATCAGCTCCAACGCAGTTGGAGACGGGAGAGAAAGCCTCCGAGTATCTGGCAGAAGCGATGACGCCGGTCTGTTGCATGATCCTGCACCAGCGACAGCTTGCCGGACCACATCTAAAGAAGGCGCAAAGCAAAGTACGAATGGAGCCTTCGCATGGGCATCTTGGTATCTTCCACATCCCAGGTGGCCACAGATGAGGCATACCCAAAGGTCCTCTCAAAGAAAGTCCGCAGACACCACCAAGGCATGAAGGAATGCTAGACCCTTCAATCCGAAGCATCGTAACTAAGGCTCCCGAAATGACAAGCTTAAAGCTTCTTCGATGCCTCCTCCTTGGGGCAGCAGGTGCATGATAGCCCGCGTTTCGGTGGCCTTGGAGCGGTTGGCCGGAAACCAACAACAAGAGGGGCTTGTTACCCGGTGTCGCCATAGACATGTAGAAGTAGCCGTAGCAGTCGCAGTAGCAGTAGCAGTCGCAGTAGCAGTAGCAGTAGCAGTCGGAGTAGGAGTAGGAGTAGGAGTTGGAGTTGGAGTAGGAGTAGGAGTAGTGGTGGTGGTGGTGGTGGTGGTAGTAGTAGTAGCAGTAGTAGTAGTAGTAGTAGTAGTAGTAGTTGTTGTTGTTGTTGTAATAGTAGTAGTAGTAGTAGTAGTAGCAGCAGCAGCAGCAGCAGTAGCAGTAGCAGTAGTACTACTATTGCTAACTAGTATCAAGTACTAGTACTAGCACTAGTAGTACTGGTAGGCGGAGGGGAGGAGGGGGAGGAGCAGCAGCATGAGAGATGATGGTCTCTGGTGATCCTGGTGCCGGTGCTGGTGGCTCAATGTAGCAATCATAGTGGGAATATCGCGGAGAATGCGGACATGCAAAAGGCGACAGATGCAGATCATAGCAAAAAAATCGTCACCAAGACTACCCCTGCTATCGAATATCGAACAACCCTAGATGCCACGGTCTGCTCTCCTACGACCCAAGCGACAGGCCGGTCAGTAGCTGGACGCGTCGCGATGACCTGGGATATGCTCAACAAAGACCCCAGGGGTCCCTCGTGACGTCACCGGTCTGAGCCTCGGGCCGCGCAGGCCCGACAGGTGGGCGGGCGGCCATTTTGCGCATCGTCAGATATCCAGCCGTGGCTATGCGTGACCATACCTGCACCGGAGTCTGCGGTACAAAATCTTGAGTTCTGCTCTGAAGCAGCCCGTGCCTGTGCCGGAAACATCGATGCGCTCGATGCAGACCGGACACGAAGGCAGTTCCTGAGAGCAGCGGAGGCCGGGTTGAGGCCATGCTCGCACCGAGCCGAGGTGGCGTCGTAGGCGGTGCTGGGTATGATGTTCCGGAGGTGTTCATCCGTCTCGTCCGAGTCCGCCCTCGCCAAATTCGGTTGCATCTGATCACCTTAGAGAATACTGACATCCTGCAAAATCCCACTTGCGTGCATGAGTCAGGGCGGCGAACTGGGGTCGCCAGAGTTGAAGTCGTAGACGATAGCCTCACAACCAACTCAAAAGCCCAAGAAGATGCGACCCCAGGACCCCTACCTCCAGAAATGTCAAGTAGCAGCATGCACCCGCGCTTCGAGATTCGGCCTTGCTTCTCGCAGACACTGCCAACACATAGGACGGGAAGAGGTTGATCCTTCTCCCCTCTTCTCACATTTTCGCACAAGGCCTTGCCAGCGCTGCTGCTCTGCGACTCCTGACCTGTGCGAGATCTGACGAGAGCAGATGCAACGCAGCGCTTCTGCAGGCGCAAAGTTGAATACAATACGTCAGCAATCTGTAACACGTCTCTGCCTGAGATGAAGAGCCTCCCGTGGTTTGCCTTGTACAAGGCATCTGCTGCTGCCTCGGTGACTCCCAGAGACTCTCAGAATTCGATATTGAAGGCTGTGGAGAAGATGGCCTGGTCGCGGCACAGGAGAATGACCTTCACTTCTGCACCAGAAAGCGGTTTTTTCAAAGTGGCCCACAAGGATCTACAAAGCTGGGTGCCCAGCGGTGTAGAAGCCACTGCTGCCCGAGCCAGGGGCGCACTTGCCCTCGAGAGAAGGGCAAGAGAAGGAACCTTGCGGTCTCCGCAGGACATGAAAGGGTTTGGGGGCTTCGGGTTTGGGGGCCTAGGAAGGTCAGGGCTAGGCCTTGATTTTACGCTGTGGCCGTCGAGTCAGCTTCTTCTCTCAAGCCGCTGGCGCCAACAATCCAAAGAAATGTCCGGAGCCGATTTTTGAGCTTTCCGCGCTGCACATAGACAGTGCCCTCGAATGCTACAGGCTCTGTAACTCTGGCAACCGGCGAACAACTGTGCAGAGTTGTCGACACATGCATGCTTCTCCGGTATCCCTTGCCGGCAGTATCTTCACTGCGGCTTCAGCATCCCTCGGAACTGGCCGCCCTGGTTGCTGCCCGACACTGTCGCATCCCACCTTCATGCTTGTTGCAAGTCTCTGCAACCGGCACGGTTTCAGGATGCGGAGCGGTACTGCAGGAGCGCGGGTCTGAATCGGCCACTGCCGGCTGGGACGAGACGACACCACCGCTTCGATTCTTGAAATGTCTCTCAGGCTGAGACGAGACGACACATCCACAGCTTTGTGGATCAGCCATCTGAGAGCTGGCTGTCATGCAGCTGGGCAGCCGCTGATCGAAGAAGGCATTCAAAACGCTCAGCATCAAAATCTACGAGCTGTTTACTCAGAATGCAGTGGTATTGCACTGGCGCACATCCCATAGAGGAAACATCTTCTCAGTCCCCAGAGCCGAAACCACAAACGCTCTTGCAAAGACAGCATCACGTGAATGGACGTTCAGTTGGGGATACAGCCTATACGACGGCTGTGTCGATAAAGCACTCGAACAGCCTCGATGCCTGCCCGGGCTGCAACACAGGTCATGCCTGCCAAAGGAAAAGAACACAATCCTTAATTCCGCCGAACTCGCCTTCCACAAGCCTGAGCTGGCATGTCTGTGTGTGTGCAGATTCTACTGGTACAGCGACTGCTTGGGGTGGGACCCTGAGTCTGCTCCAAGGAATGTCTGTAAACTCTCCAGGGTCAGTTCCTGAAGTACCAGCAGGCAATCATGCTTTGGACCAAGGGTGCCTCAAAGACTCGAAAGGCTGGGAAAAAGGCCGAAGGTACGGCCAGAAGCAACAGGGCACTTGTTCTTTGTATTGGCAGAGCATCCTGCGTCACAAGCTCTCACCATGTCTTGACCGCCTCAAATGCACTCAAAGCGCCATCCTCCAGGCCGGCGCCAGCTCCTACTGCACGGAAGAACTTGGTGGCACGTACCTGGGGTCTGGAGTCTCCCGAGGGGCGCATGGGAAACCCTCAGGCCGGGCCTCAAGGACGTCAACGACGGTCTTCTGCTCTTTCTCTTGCCCGGGCAGGGGAGCCAAGTTGGCCTCTCCTGCAACCACCCCCCCCTCAAGGACCCAAACTCAGTCACCTTGTAGACAGCTGCCTCCCGGCAGATGCTCGAAAACGCCGACAGAATCAGATGGTGTAGGTCGTGCCTGTAGTCCGGCATGGAAGACGATGAGTGCAGTATTCTCGGCATGGGTTCTTTACACGTCCCTTTTAGACCCTCCACGCCTGCAATCCGGCCACCAAGACGTAGAAGACCATGCTGGGGCAGCGCCGCCCCGTAGCATGCTCACAAGACTCTTTTGGAACTAGCATGCATCTTGGTGAACCCTAAATCCTAAACCCTATAAACCCTGAGGTTTAGGTGCAGGCTTCTCACCAACTCTCAGGGCCTCGGATGCATTCAGGCATCTGGCAGGTTAGCATGCAGGTGACATGCTGGCGTATCTGAGCCGCACATGCTACGAAGCACCAAGTTCCACCATGGAGGGAAGCGGCAAAGCCAAGGGCGGGCAAAGTAGCTCGGCTCGGGCATTTCCCACCGATTCGGAGAGACGTTGAGCTGTCAAAGTCGGGTGCAAGAACTTCCCACAGGCGCCGCTCTGTCAAGAGTACGGTCGATGCTTGAAGGCAGCAAGAAAAAGCCAACGGGTGATCAACGCATCGAACACCAGCTGCAGATAAAGCGGCAGATAGATGCGTCACGGCGAAGTTCGACTGAATCGCCAGCCCAGCCGCCAGACTACGAGCTGCAGGTTGCGCTTCCGAGTCCCTCGGGCAAGCAAGCATGGCAAGCCGCCTTGATTCATCCATGCCAGCCCAGTTCAAGTTTCGAGCGCTGTTCTTCGCATCGCATCGCGCCTCTTCTCGATGGTTCGCCTCTCCGTCACTGACTCACTGGCGCAGCTCCCTGCGCTATTGTTCGTCTCTCGTCTGGCCTCCCTGCCTCCAACACTGCGAGGTTCGCACCTCGGGTTCCAGCACAAGGGCTGTGACCAATACGATGGCATCTTGTCTAGATCTCGCAGAACAGCCTACGACTCGTAGAGGTAGTTCTCTAAATACCTCGCGCTTGCAACAGGGACGCTTAGAACGGCCCCTAAATTGTGAGAAGCCCTTCATCTTCGACAGGGAGCCGGCCTTGGCATCAGATTGCGGAGCTGCAAGGAGCGCCAGCGTCGCCCAGTGTGCCGCCCATGCCTCTTCGCCAGATCGATCCCATGCCTTCGTGCCCATACAGAAGCTAGACTGTCTTTGTCACGGCCCGATGTGGGTAGAGCTGTGGTAAGACCCATGTCCACCATGGACCGATGCCGAAGACTTTGTCGCAGCTGCTGGTCTTCGCGCTGGCTGAGGTGCCTCGGAAAAAGCGCAACGCTTGTTTCACATGGCTGTGCGATCGGGAACAGCTTGGAGCAGTTCAGAAGAGTTGACTCTGCGCTCACGGGCTGCTCCCTGATCCTGACTTCTAGCGGCTCGAGCGAGACGGCTTGCTATCGGCTTCGGTACGGGGGGGCCCTTTGCAACGGAAAACCCAGGAATTTCTTGCCGGGCGGCCCGATTCTCGTTTTCGATCCTGGAGCCTGCTGATGGTGGTTTCACCAGACCGGAGAAGTCGAATCTGCTTGGCGAGAAGCGAGCCCGTCATGGAGAAGACAGTGCAACAAAGGAGAAGCAAGACACTGGCCTCATGCGACTTATGATCCCATCTTAGTTACTTGGTACTTCTACCGAAGAAACGCTCCGACAAAGGTGAGATTGGCAGATGCCGCTGCAGCCAGGCAGCAGCATGTAGATGCACACCCGCGTAGGAGTGCTCCACTAATCTCGTAATGTAGAAAGGCAGGGTCCGTTCTGACAGCGGCGGGAGCTTTGCGAGTATGTCATTCACGTTCTGAGTGATGTCATCCATGTGGTCCAAACAATAGGTAACTGTGACAGCCAGGACATATGATACGGAGACCGTCGACCAGAACAGAAACACCACAAAGCTCCGCCGATTTCCCCTCCCCACACAGTTGCCAATGAAAGGGCAGTGATGATCCATGTCATAGACACACTGCCGGCAGATTCTGCAATGATGGCTGCCAGGCGGCTTGCCTTTGCCACATGCCCTGCAAAATCGGTAGCCCTCCAGCGCACCGGGGCCAATGTTGCCCAGGCGCCGCACGGCTACGAAGCCAGGATCTCTCAGGACAGATTGCGCATAGTTCAGGAGGGTGTTTGTCCACAGCCAGATACAGGAAAGCCAGTGAAGGGAGAAGGTCAGCCTGGCGGGACTTCAGCGCAACCTCTCCGACATGCTTTAACTCTAAGACGGGTCATATGAGGAGCGGTGTTGCCAGTCCCCAAGACGGTGGGTTCCTGGACCTGGCGATTACACAAAGTTCTACGTGGCAGCGGCCACAGACTCTCTAAGCCTGACCCCCGTTCCACAGAAGGGTGGCTCCTCAACGACCCGCAACCCTTCAAGCATCAGATGCTATCAGGGAGGGTGAGTGTGAACCTGAAACCTGCAGTCACTTCAACAGATCATCTCATGCATCAAGCCGACACCTACCCAAACCAACCTACTCCCTTGAATGCAGAATGCACATGCTAGCAGGCTGTCAGCCTTGAGGCGCTACCCAGAAAGTCTGGGTAGATGTAGAACACGCCCAGCACAGAAATGGTGTTGATCGCGGCCAAGACGAAGAGGACCATGAAGAAGCTCCAAATTCGGCGGACAGCTGGCACAGACACGAGGTCCGAAATTGCGAAAACCATCCGCAACAGTGCCGGCTTCGTGTCCCCTCGCCGGAAGTCGCTCAAGGCACCACAGAAGCTGCATTTTGCCTCCTCCAGAAACCCGTCCAGGCCCCTCCCACAGGCCCAACACCTGAAAACTTGGCCCCGTGTCTCGATAAAGGGCGCTTCGGACTCAGGGTCCTCCGAAAAGCCTTCGACGTGAGCCATCCCAAGTCCCTGTAAAGAGGCGTAGATACCAGTAACCAGAATTACCGTATAGTCATACTGCCGGGTAGCTAGATGTCTTGATCGGCCCGGCATGATAATTCTTGTATGGATGTGACCACATGTACATCTACAAATTATACATAGTGTACATATGCATACGTACACATACACACGGCTAGACGCTCGGCTCTTGAGAAGAACCAAACGTATCACGTATCGGCAAATTGGTTGGGCTCCACGAGTTGTTTTGAAGGAAAATAACAATCTGCCGCACCTCAAGAAAGAGCTGTTGTGGACCGGCACCTGCCCATGCAGACTTTCTCCCTCGGCAGAACACGGCGACTTTAAATAATCAAGTCAGGCTGTTGCAGACACACTTCCGGTAAGAGTCATGGCAAGTCGCACAAGAAAGGTGTCATTCTCCTGCCCGTGGCCAAACAAGGCTGCAGTCTCTTGGAGACATGGCGCCCACAAAACTGAAAGAGATCGTGATCTGAAAATTCTGTTACGGAGGGTACCCGAACTTTCCAAACAATAAAGATTCGTGGGGATTTCCACGATCGGAACCCGATGTTATTGAAATTTCTGATCGGCTCCTGGCTCTTGGAAACTCCCAGTGGCTAACGTGGCCCACATCCTGCGATCACAGGAATGGGCTTCCTGGGATACACCCAGTTCTGGGACACACCTGGCAGCTGCATTTTTTGCGCCAGCAAGGAGCGTCCGTGAAACGATTTTCCGAGGCGGAAGCCTGGGCAGGCAGAGTCGAAGACCCGAAAACCTCCACGCCCCCATTTGGCAAACTTGCTGCTTCTTGCAAGCCCTCGACCCTGAAGCATGAACCCCGAACCCTAAACCCTAAACCCCGAACCCCAAACCCCGAACCCCAAACCCTAAACCCCGAACCCTAAACCCTGAACCCCAAACCCTAAACCTGAAACCCTGAACCCTAAACCCGATCGAGGAAAAGATCCGGACCCGGGCCCGGCCTTATTCAAGAACAGGGTTTGGACGCGCCCGACCTCTGAATGACCTCCGCAATGCTCCAGGCTTTATCTATCTATCTGTCTGTGTATCTCTCTATCTGTCTATCTATCTGTCTATCTATCTATCCGTCCATCTGTCTATCTGTCTATCTATCTAACTATCTATCTATCTGTCCATCTATCTATCTGTCTGTCCATCTATCTATCTATCTATTTATCTATCTATCGATCCGTCTGTCTATCTATCCGTGTACCTACCTATCTATCTATCTATCTATCTGTCTATCTATCTGTCTAAGAATATCTGTCTATCTATCTGTCCATCTATCTGTCCATCGATCTGTCTATCTGTCTATCTATCTAACTGTCTGTCTATCTATCTGTCGATCTATCTATATGTCTGTCTGTCTGTCTGTTTGGCTGTCGATCATCTATCTGTCTATCCGTCTTTCTATATATCTATCTATCTGTCTAGCTATCTATCTATCTGTCTATCTATCCGTCTATCTATCTATCTATCTATCTATCTATCTAACTATCTATCTATGTGTCTGCCTATCTATCTATCTGTCTATCTAACTATCTGTCTATCTGTCTATCTATCTGTCTATCTGTCTATTTATCTATCTATCTGTCTATCTATCGATCCGTCTATCTGTCCATCGATCTGTCTATCTGTCTATCTGTCTAACTATCTAACTATCTAACTAACTAACTGTCTATTTATCTATCTATCTGTCTTTCTATCTACCTGTCCATCTGTCTATCTATCTACTTGTCAGTCTATTTAACTATCTATCTGTCTATCTATCTGTCTATCTAACTGTCTATCTATTTACATATATTTCTATGTGTATATTATATATGTATACATATATCTGTACATGTATATATATATATATGTATATATGTATGTATGTATGTATGTATGTATATATATATATGTATACATAGCTAGATATATGGGTTACGTGGGTTTAGGGTTTAGGGGCACCCAGTCGAAGTGCCGGTGACGTGCCTCCTGGCGGCCTCAAGCTGCAAGAGGCGCAGGTCCGCAGCGATTCGGGCGGCCTCGTAGAACATACTATAAGTTATACAATAAGGTATGCTAAAATTAGAAGATATTCTACAAGATGTACGATAAGAGATACGAAAGGATATACCAAAAGATATACTATAAGACACATACTATACTTCTTTACTACAAGGTACAAAATTTGCTATAACATCCTCTAACATGCCGTAATGTAGTATATATTGACAGCCCCTTCACATGTCCGCCCGCCTCCTCAGTTTGACTGGGCTGATAGCCTGCAGGTGAAAATAAGACTGTGGAACCAACCCATAGGTCTCAGAGTTCCCGCTGGCGCCTCCAACAAATGGGCTGGTCACCACGGCCTGCGAACAAGCTTCCTACAGGATCCTGTAAAAAGAGGATCTCTAGGCTGCATAATAAAAGTGTATAGATGTAGTGACTTGTGACTGGTGTATTGAATTGTCCACGTGCATCTTTACTATGCATTTTTTGTTTCATTTGCTTTTCCTATACCCCTCTTGCACCCCCTTTCAGTTTAGGATCCCAGAAGCATCTCGGAATCACGGAGCTTGCCTTTGGCTCCGCCTCCACGACTCTTCTCTCCGAGACCTGTAGGCCAAGAACCGATTTAGTGCTTCTACGGTTTAGGATTTAAGGTAGGGTAGAAATTTCAGGGTGTAGGGTATGAGTCCCAGAACCGGAAAACCTTAAAGCCTCAAACCTCGAAAGCCTCGACCCCGAAACTCTCAACACCGAACTCTACATCTGCGGATACTCACCGGTCGCTCCTGGCATGTCGGCGGTGCCTCGTGATCCTGCGCATCTCAGATGTAAAGCTCCACTCAGAAGCCTAACCCTTAAACCCCTAAACCCTAAACCCCAAACCCCTAAACCCTAAACCCTAAACCCTATAAACCCCTAAACCCTAAAGCCCTAAACCCTCTACCCCTGGAGGCTGTTTTCTGCAGGCTCCTCATCTCCATTCACCCCCTCCGGGCGCGGCTCAGCCTGCAGAAAGCGCTGGTAACTCTCTACGTTTAGGGGTTTAGGGGTTTAGGGTTTGTGAGTTTAGGGTTGGGGGGGGTTTAGGGTGTGGGGCCTTAGGGGGTTTGGAGGATTTGGAGGTTTAGGAGTTTCGGGTTTCGGAGTTTTGGAGTTCGGGGTTTAGGCGTCAGACAACAGCTTTAAGGTGCGCCTCGCCACGAGGAGTTGATGGACTGGACGGGCTCGATTCCTTACAGGGAGCACTCACAGGGAGCACTGGCACCTCGGCAGCCCGGGTTCGCGGGTTCAAGCAGTCCTGCAGATCAGCCTCCTCCGGCCACTCGTCCTCTTCGAAGCCGAAATCAGACGCCTGCAAAGCGGCACAGACTAAACCTCAAAAGCCGCCTTTGTAAGCGTTTACGGACTCGCCTTGAGGCAACTCGGCTCCGCCTGGACAACAACTTAAGTGCACCGCACGGCACACGCCTTCCAACCAACTTGCCGGAACGATGCCTCTGCCTTGACGTCCTCTCTGCCTGCAATGCCTGCAACCCATAAGGATCATGGGCCCAGGCGAGGAATCTCTTCCTCAATTTCTTCGTGTCCCTCAGCCTCTGCTTTCGAAGAAAGGCTCACCTGCAAGGTCCTGCCGCCCCACATCAAACTTTCAGCAAACCCCTCAGAAGAGACTGAAATTTCCCAGAACTGCGGCTGCCAGAATATGCTTGCTGTGCGGAAGCGACCTTTCTGCGACCTCTCTGCAGTGGACCCTGCGTGTCTGTGGATGAGCGAGCACGAAACATTGAAGCAAAACTCATCATACAGCTCCTGCTGTTTAAAGGTGGGGCTGGACGATGCCCGGGCAGCGCGCGAGGCTTCACAAAGTTACAGCCTACATTGCGGGCTTACGATTGGCCAAGCAGGCCTTGCCGCAGCATGTCCGCCAAGTAATCCACAGTGATCGAAAGAGATTCAAAGCTCACTTCTTGCAGAAAAGCCATGAAGATCGGACTTGACATTGGCAGCCCGATGTCGTAGAGCCGCGCCAATTGCGGCGGAGTGAATTCCCAGCAGGTTGCGAGATGAGGCACGTCCTCACCCATCCACTAATGGGCGTGCATGCTGCCCAAAAGCAGAAAGTGTTAAACCGTAAACCCATCTTTCAAACGGGCTTTTTAGTAGCCCCATTGGCACAGGTGCAGTCAGCTCAGTCCCAGCTACACCTCGCAGGAGGCTCTCCGACCCACACATCGACTCAAAGACCCCACCCAGGGATCTGGCAAAATGTTGCCAGTGGCACGAGGCTACGCGGAGGCAACTCCAGAGCTGCCTCGGGGCCCCATCCCGGACTGGGAGTGTTTAGGGGGATTCCGTTGGGGAGCTATGGTCCAGAAAGACCAATCCCTGGTCCATGGAAACCCGATGCAAGCATCACGAGAGAAGTTCGAGGCTGCTGCCGGCAGAAGCTGCTGCCAATGCCTTTGCAAGGACCTCATCGTCCGGGTCTAAACTCGTAAGAGCCCCGGACCGAAGCACATGCTATGTGTCACAATCTAGTACTGAGGAAGCGTAAGGTTACACGATGATACCTACACGCATGCGTTCAGCTTCATCTGCGTGTATGTATGTAGGTATGTATGTATGTATGTAGGTAGGTAGGTCGGTCGGTCGGTCGGTCGGTCGGTAGGTAGGTAGGTAGGTAGTTATGTAGGTAGGTATGCAGGTAGGTATGTAGGTAGGTATGTAGGCAGGTATGTATGTATGTATGTATGTATGTATGTATGTATGCATGTATGTGAGCGTTGATCAATATTCCTGTTTCTGGAAATGGTTTCGTTGCGGATTATTGCTTTCCTTTCGCGGGACTTTCGCCCTCACTTTCGCGCGAAATGTTTGAGGTGGTAGTAGTAGTAGTAGTAGTGGTAGTGGTAGTGGTAGTAGTGGTAGTTGTAGTGGTAGTAGTGGTAGTAGCGGTAGTAGTGGTAGTAGTGGTAGTAGTGGTAGTAGTGGTAGTAGTGGTAGTAGTGGTAGTGCTAGTGGTAGTGGTAGCGGTAGTAGTAGTACTAGTAGTAGTAGTAGTAGTAGTAGCAGTAGTAGTAGTGCCTTCAAGCGACC